TATCCGATTACTCGATTAATCGTAAGAATAATCGATAGATTACTCGATTACTAAAATATTCGTTTACAACAGCCCTATACAATATTCTCCTTCTTCTGACCTGACAGGGATTGAAACACTCTCCTGAAGCAAAAATAATACAGGAAAAACAGTAAAAACAGTGTTCAATTTAACTATTTCCTTATGGCTGGACTGAAAAAGTATCACAATATAAGGCTTTCATATCAGTCTATCAATAGTTATTGATTAGTTATTTGTTTAAATATCTAAAATAACAATAAGCCTTTCCTGTTTTATCCACAGTTTTCACTCCATGCTGTTGTTTTTTTATTTTTAAGCAGTTATGAGGCACAGTGGTGGAATCTATACTGTTAATTACTCAGCAGGTCGTTGCTAGGTAACCAAAGAGTGAGTGAGTTGCTAGGTAACCAAAGAGTGAGTGAGTTAGTTTATTCCACCAACTTTGCTTAGCTGTGTCAGGTGAGGTTGAGCAGCTAAAGTTTTTCCTCTGCCTAAATCCCCCATAATGCTTTGCGGTTCCCTGAAATTATTGAATATTTCTATTGATATTGATCACATGTTGATCGTAATATATATTGTTATTGATTTACTGCCCAGCTCTGGTTCTGAACCTTGTTTGTCTTTCAGAACTCCGTCCTGGCCGTCGCAGGTGACGATGACACCGTGAGGTTCTGTGATGTGGAAAAAGCTAAATGGGTTTGTGAGTTCAAGGCTCATGAAACAAGGTAAATTTCTTGAGAATCTCCTGAAATAATTGACCAGCAGTGCATTAAAGCACACACTGTGATCTGATTTATTAGCAGGTTCATTGTTATTGTGAGTTTGCTAAGTGCGACATGCTTGTCCTGATGGTTATACGTTACATCTCCCCTAATATGTTCATCATAATATGAATTGATTTACATTTAAAAATAGTTATATTCATACAAGATAATTATTTTTACTTGAAAATAGAGATGGGTATCTCTCAGAATGTCACATTTAGAAAAAAAACATTTTTCATAACATTTTATTGAAACATGTTTAAGATATTTATAACTTTCTGTGTTATTAATGGAAATAAGTCTTTATTGGCATTACCGCAATCATAACCTCCACTAATTTTCTGTCCGATCCAAGTCAGGGCTCAGTTTGGTCAGCTCAGTTTGAAGAAAAATATTTGCAAAATTAGAAGATAATGTTAAACTTTAATCTGCCAGGGTTATAAATAACTGTAGGCTAAATTTTTCTGACTGAAGAACAAGTGCTCTCAGTTATTGTTGCATCTCTTTGTGGTTTCAGAGTAAAAGCAGTCGACAGTTTGATTGTGGATGATTACTGCGTGCTTTTAACGGCTTCAAATGATGGTTACATCAAAATGTGGAAACTCCATCTGAAAGAGGTGCGTCTTTGTTATTTTGACACCATAAATCAAAATCTGTGGTTAATAACACTATTGCGCAGTTGTTGCCGAATTTACTGTTACCTGTGGATGGGATGGGTGAAAAAAAATTTAAATAAATTGGATCTTTTATGGCAGTAACATTATTTCACACTATTGTTTGGAAATTGCAACCATTATTTTTGGTATTTGGTTAAGTTAATCTGATTTTCTAAAACTTGTAGTTGTTACTCTTAAGACTTATAATGACCTATTAACAATATCTATTCATGTATTTCATTACTCTGACTCCATTTCTTTTAGAGAGAAAAACATGCCATTCAAGTAAGGTAGATGTTTCAATTTTCATAAATCGAGAAAAGATTACAAGAAAATGGCTTCCCAACTTAAAATTTGGAATGTCGTTAACGTAAAAACCATCATAAACATTGATTTGAAATACCAAGACATTTATGACTTTACCATTAAACTAAAAATGAGTCAACTTCAGGTGTTTTAATAGAAAAAAACATAGTTACAGTTCACCAAATATAGGTCCAACCATCTTCCATTAGACCTAAGTCCTATAGAAAAACTGAGGTGAGCCACAGAAAACAGTGCAGGAAGTCTCTCTATGTGTTTCAACTTTGTGAAATTTTATATTATTGGTGTCTTATTGGTAAAAGTGGGTCTGACAAAGTACTAAAGAAAAGAGTGCTAATGTAAACGGTTTGGTAAATACATTTTATATGACTATTTCTGCTGGTGATCAGGAGCTGGAGCCTCCTGTTCTTCTGGGGGAAGTGAACACAACAGCTAGACTGACGTGCCTCGCCGTATGGAGACCTTCGTCAGTTCAGCCGATATCTGATGGTCCGTCTAAAGCAGCAACATCAGAAGGTGGAGTCCAGCTTTCATCTCACTTCATCTCACTTTATGGACTACTTGTTATTAATACATAATAATGATGACATGGGTTAATTAAATTGATTAAATAATATTTTTTTTCTCCATCACTGTCCTCAGAACTTGCTCAGGAACTTGCCAAGAAGAAGAGAGGCCGAGCGATAACAGAAAAAGTAATTGTAGAGGATGAGAGCAAACCCAAAAAGAAGAAGAAAAATGGCGGAAAAAAGACTGTCAAGCAATAAAAAATATTCTTAACCCATTCATGCTTTTATGTCAACTTACTGTGCCATACAAATATTTGCATTTTGAAGTTTTCAGATTTAGTTAGATTTCATGTGGATATTTTATTCTTTTTTTGTTTTAATTTTTGTGCTTTAAACTTATACCTATTTTTGGTACCTACACACAACCACCACCTTTCTTTATAAATGTAAACACCTTTTGTAGCAATATATTTTAATTATAATATTGATTTAGACTTTATACAAGATTAGTTTCTAAATGAGTGAAATCTGTTAGATCTCTTATTTTGAAAGTTAACTTCCGTTGAGGCGGAAGTGCTTGCCAAATATTCATTTTATGAAGCTTTTCTTGTAATTATAGTTTCTACGAGGTTTTACATTGCTGATTCTAAACTTACGTCAGTTTGTTAACTTTAATAAATCAAAATTTACGCATACGTTTAACTGAGTGCATTTCTCATCTTTTATTTTGAAGGCGTCCGGCTTCCTTTGAGGATTCAGTGTTTCATAAGCTCTGGACAGTTTGCTTAAAATATCTTATATCAACGTTAATTTCTTTGGTTTTTAATTTAATATTTTATTTAAAAAAATCCAAGTTTTAAACGAAGTTTACAGTTACGGAATTAGTTCAATCTGTCAGCTTTTATTTCGAAAGCGACCAACTTCCGTTTAGGCGGAAGTGTTTTGAAACGATGAACTAGTCAAGAATTCAGTGTAATAGTACCTGTTCTAAGCGTTTTTACGCATTTTGTTTAAAACTAAGGACAGTTTGCGATTAAAAACAAACTAAACTGTCTTTATACAAGATTAGTTTATACAAGATTATCACAAACCTTGTGAGGTTTTGTTTCTCGGTTCAGGATTAGCTGTTTAAAAGGCTGGACTTCATGGACTGGATTGGCTTCGGCTATGCTCTGTTTGTGTCAGCAGGAGGAGTCATAGGTTATGCTAAAGCAGGTATGCTTTTTAAAATATGTATATTAACAGACTCAGATTTTGTTGGTAGGTGAAATAAGTTCAGAAATACGGTCGGCTTTTGAAATAGTTTAAACCTCATGTGCTGTTACGGTCTTGAAGTACAAAACTGGTGAAAATAAACTAGTTTAAACTTCAAGCTTAACGAGGGAAGTTATCAAAACTCAACAAAATCTTGTTTTCCCTTTTAATCTGTAAAAGTGGTTATGATTAATAGTTCTCCAGTCTTACAAGAACAGGAAAACACCTACAGACGCAAAACCCAAAGTTTTAAATCCACCCTTAATATCTTATTTCCCCTCCAAATGTAATTTTTTTAGCAAATTTTTTACTTTTCAAAATCTGACATTTCTTTGCTATTTCTAGAAAATTTGGATTTTTTTATTTTACTTTATTTTCAGAAACATACTGCTTTTTTTAACCCCCCTTTATAACAACACTAATACGCCATTGTAGAATCTTCTCAGTAGTCCCAAAATTGCTCCACGAATGAACTGAGGATTCATCCTGGCAGAATAAAACATGTAAAACCTTTGCAGAGGATTCTGGATTATTATTTTAGTCCAGAATAGAAAGGAAGATTTGCAACAAAAATTTAACAAAATGACTTTATATGTTTCGGCTTTCTCTTAATTTCAACTTGTGTGAATCTTATTCAATGCTTGATCATGACTAATGAGTAATAACTAGTATTTTTAAAAAGAAAAATCACTTCTAGCAGACATTTTACAGCACCATACTTTTTTCTTGTAATCAAGTCAATTCAGTACAGTATAGCGCCAGTTCTCAATAAATCAACCCAAATATGATGATTTATTTTATTTAGAACAAGGACAATCTACAGTATACATTAACCATAAGAGGAGAAATGCACTGTATGCAGTTATAGCTCTAAGTGCTAATCTCCACTTGTAGTTCTTGACCCAGCTGATCCAATATTTCAAAAGAAAAATACATAAAATTAGCTGAATGCTGTTCAATATATTTATATATATATAAAAACGACCTTGCAGGCAGCGTCACCTCTCTGGTCGCCGGTATCGTCTTCGGCATGGCGGCTGCAGTTGGAGTTTATCTGACGTCTCAGAATCCCAGGAATGTTTGGCTTTCATTGGGTGAGTTTTCTCTCTCTGTTCAGCTCAGGGTAATGCTGTGATGACAGCAGCTTTCATCTCCTCATCATGTTTGTCCGTACATGCAGGCACAGCGGGAACCTTGGCTGTAGTGATGGGACTGAGATTTGTAAACTCCTGGAAGTTCATGCCGGCTGGTTTGATGACTTTAGCGAGGTAACGTGCTCTACTGAAGGACACCAACCAACATTTGTCAAAATAATGTTTATATTTTAATGTGTGTTTTCAGCGTGCTGATGCTGACGAAGATCATCTTTGGAATGCTGAAGTCGAGGCAACACAAATCTTGAACTTAGATTTAAATTTTGAATATGGATTACGAAACATTTCCAGCTGAATAGTTTTGTTTTACAGTCTGCTGTAAAATGTGAGTTGGAATGTGATATTTGTTTTGTTTAAAAGTGGAATATTCTTTGATTTTTGGTGTATAGCAAAAAGAAATACACTCAAAATGCATAAAAGCAAACATAATTTAAATGTTTACTTTATTTAATTGTTAGATTTTATGTGTAAAGTCATAATAATCTTGCCTTTAACAAATTATAAAGTGATTTTAATCTAATCTCAAGTGAACAAAAACAGGTTTTTTTACTTAAGAAAAATGACAGCAAAATAGAAAAAGCTATTAAAGAAAAACTAAGCAGATGCAAATGTGTAGAAAATGTGACTTTCTACACAGTTAAATGGTAAAATTTCTAGCTTTCCCAGACTTCACTTAATAGACATCCCAGTCTTTTTACATTTATTTTAAAATATAGATTTAAAAGAAAAATATCCTGACACACATTCAGAATATAACATACACCTGGGCGAAAAAAATAAAAACTAAAAAAGCCACCACATGGACTTAATAGATCTGGTTTTGAGTCTAATTTTATGATTTAGTTAGTTTTCTAATTTTATTCCCACATGTGCCTTATTTTCTTTATGTGTACAGTTTTTATTGTGCTAAATAAATAAAAAATATTAATAATAATAGAAGAAAACAAAAAGGACAAAAATCAAACTATGTAAATAATGACTTGTCACTAGCTGGAGTTTTTATTTTATCATTTAAAGTACCAGAATCTGCTGGTAATTAAATATTTTGTCTCTCTAATTCCATCATTTTCACAAATTAAATCAGATTAAGCAGTACGACTCAAGTAATGAGTTGCATTTTCAGCAACTATTTTTCTACTCTTATCTGTTTGTACAACTGCTTTTTATTTCTACTTGAATAAAAATATATTGAAGCATTGTTACTTTTACTTTAATACAATTTTTGTCTATCCACCTCCATTTGAAAATTTGTTTGCTTTTTATTTGCTTGTAATATCCGTTTCTAAATTATGTTTTTAAAATCCTTTTTTTTTTTTTTTTTTTACAAATATCTACTGTACAAACTAATTTTTTTTACTTTTGTTTTTATTTTTTAGTTTTTTTAAGTGAATAAAAATATTATTCTTTGGGATATTTTATTATTTGTGGAAAAAAGATTTAAAGATAAATAGATTACTGGTACTTAGTGTCATTCATTCCCAGGAATTAAATTTAATTATTTCTTGGAAAAAACTGAAAAACTGCTAAACCTTCGTTTGATATTATATATACTTAAAATAGTTAGTATATCATTTATAGTGAAAGTTAATGAGACTGATTTAATATGGTCCATATTTTTAATCTAACTTGGTATAGTACTTTTTGCATTATCTTAATTACATTGGTTATTTTTATTATTATTTTTTTATTCAGCTCGGTTGTAAGTATTTTAACTCTCAAATGCATGTTATAAAATCTTACTAAATTAGCATTTCTTTGTACAAGTTCTCCATCTAGTGGTTTCCTGTGACGCCTGCATGTGTTCCGTTATTTTAGGAAATTTTATCTACTTTCTAACCCGCTAAAAGACAAAGACTCAGGATATTCTGACTAAAAATGTATTTAGTATAGTTTGTATTAACTAAACTGTTATCATAGTTTGTATGTTACTTGTGTAGCTTTCCTTTAAGTGCACTTTTAGGAGTATTTTTACTATGTTGTATTTTTATTGTGAAGTATCACTGCTCTTGAGTAAAATTTCTGGATTTTCTGAGTATTTTCACTGAATGAAAAACAAACATGTTTGAACTAAAAAACTCACCAGAAACAGACACACACCTGCAGTTTCTGTTAAAGTTTCATAAGTTTTTATTGAAAGAAACTGATTTGAAAAGTTTTTTTTTTTTGTTTGTTTTTTTTGCTGTTTTGGGTATTTTGTTACTGATATGAATAATTGTCATTTTCGTCCTTAAAATACCAAAATTTAAACTTAGCTATTTTGGTCCTTCTGATAAAAATATTAAATGACTGATAATTTAAGCAGTTACTCAGTACTTGAGTAGAATTTTTGCTAAATACTTTTATACTTTTACTTGAGTAATATCTTTGAATGCTACTTTTTACTTAAAAATATTTTGAAGTAATTCTACTTACTTGAGTACAATTCTTAGCCAATCTGAAATTTAAATCATAATTTACGATTTAAGAGTTTTATCTGACCAAAATATTTGCTGGGGTTTCTATAAAAGAGATAAATTTGATGTTTTAGGAAAAATATTTACATTTTTCTGTCATTGGGCAGGCGTGAAATGTGAGGAATAAAAATCATTTAGCGGCGTTCTGGAAACAGCCATACCGTAGTAACATGACGTACCTTCCTCTCTTGCATTACACCTAATAGTTGCGCAGTCAGACTTTGACCTGCGTGCGCGCGCATTCGGACAGCAGCGGCGTTCCTCCCAGGCTGCGCCCTCTCGGTTACTTACGGTAAGGTGGACCCGCAGTGTCCACTGAAGGATCAGGTGATCCACTATCTACGAAGCGAAGGCTGACTGGGGGAAAATGCAAGATGACATATAGCAAATGTCGGAGCATAATTCATTCACATTTTCGCCTCGGATTCGGATTTAGATCGCGCCGCTGGAGCTCAAATGTGACGATGGCTCGTTAGGTGCTTGGTGGCGCATCTGCGATTTTCTTTAATCCCCGTAAGATATTTTGATTTATGAAAAATCACATTCACAGACAAATATTGGTTTCAACATGGGGCTGTGCTACAGTTTGCGTCCCCGGCTCTTCGGGGACCTGAGCGGCTCTATCTCCAACGCTACCTCGGACTCGGACCAGCCTCCGGACGCCTCCGCCGCTGCCGCCGTGCCGAGCCGCGGCGGGGCGGCTCGCCAGGAGGACACCGGCGGATGCGGGGAGACTTCATCGCTACGCGGCGGCGAAGGCCTGGTTCGCCCCGGGGACCCGGCTAGGGAGCACCGCCGCGGGGACACCGGGACAGACGGGGTGCTTATACAAAACGGGGGCGGCGGAGGAAGCGGCGGCAGCAGCGGCGGAAAGGGCTCCGGAAAAGAGCGCAGCCGCCGCTTGCAGCTGCTGCCAAAAACAAGCACCCAAAAGCAGAAACATTGGGACAAACTGCTGGTGGAGGAGAAGGAGGCCGAGAAGGAGGCGAAGAAAGTCAGTAAAAACATTGACAGGGCGCTGAGGGAGCTCAAGCGGGAGTATAAACAGACGCATCGGCTGCTGCTGCTCGGTAGGTTGTTCCCCTCTCTGTTGTTGTTGGACTGGGAAGGTGTTTTATTAATAGAAACCAAAACGCGCTGGCCTGTCCAGAAATTATGTCACAGCTCCGCTCCAGCGAGGCCTGTCGTTGCCACATCTGATGGCCATCACTTGAGATCAGAACCACGTTTCAGGACGACGTGAAAGGGTCCAAAATGCACTATAAAAATGAATTCCGGTAGACATTAAATATTAGTCTAAGGGATTGATGTAAATGACAAAAACCAGTTAGATAAGAGAACGAAAAGCCAAAGATAAATAAAAAAGAAGCTGTACATTAAAATATGTATATTTAAGACTGCTTTTTAGTTTGTAATGTTTACTCCAACACACTAATTGGTGAATTATATATATAAAAAAGAAAATGTTGGTGAATTTAATTGTGGCAACAATGAAATTTTAAAATTATCCATTCATTTTTATTCAGTTTCATTTAAATGGCAACAAGACCCCTGATAAACAAATCAAACTCATATCCAGCAATTTTATAACCGAATCCATCCAACATATTAATCGTTACATAATGTCACCTTCCTAAAATAATGATCTAATTCATTTTTTTAACCTAAATCAAATTTTGGCAGTAAAAGGAATAAAGGGGTGATTTATTTATTTATTGATAAAATCACTTTTGGCAAAAAAAAAAAACAACAAAAAAACAATTACTTAGGCCATTATTTTAGGAAGGTGGTGATATTAAAATTCAGGTCTAATCCAATTTGAACTTATTTTTATTACAAATAAAAACATTTTCATATGAATTTGGTTCAGCAGGCAACAGTAAGGCTGGTGTGTGAGATGTACTATGAATAAATGTGCATTTGGTCTGGCATAATATTAAAACTTAAAGTAAATAACTCTTTATCAGGCTTTTTTTATCCACTTTGCCAATTATAGCTTAATTTATTATCAATTTTGTGCATGTAAATGAGCATAAATGATTTAAATGTTAAAAATAAGCTTGGATTTCTGTGTGATTTAGTTCAGTTTTATAATAATATCTGCATTTCTCTCTCTGTTCTCAGTTGAATCTTGAATTAGGACAGATTGTGATCTTTGATCAAACCAAAAAAACTTCCTTATTACTTATACAAGTCATATAACTGCATTTCCTTGCAGTACACTGGGTAGAATCAAGGAAATGGACTATAAAAATTCAACTTTTGAGGGTTCAAAACCATCCGGCGAGTATGAATCAACACCCGGTTAGTCCAAGACAATTCAGAATTTCATACCTAAAAAAGAAACCAAAGTTTCAGAGGTTCAAGATAGTAAAGAGGTGAAATGGTCACTCTGACCTCTAACACCCCTAATTACGTTTTCTTTATTATTAGTGAGTGAGAGACATTCGACTGGAAGGGAACATTTTGTTCTCAAAGTTGACATGTTATAAGCTGGAAAAAGATTAATTTGCGATCAAAAGTGGAGTAAAAAAGAAGCAGTGATAAACCAGTGACCGGGTTCTGGAAGAAGAAGGTGTGCTGGTCTGATGAATCACATTTTCTGTCACATCGTTTGCATGGACAGGTGTGTGTTGCTTATTTGGGAAGCACATAGCACCAGGATGCGCTATATGAAGACACATTTCACCTACCTATCTGTTGTAGCAGACCATAATCAGCCTTTTAGCAGGGTATTGTGCCCTTCCTCAAACCAAAATTGGTTCAAGAATTGATTGAGGAGTCCCACAATGACTTTGAGTTGATTACCTTTCTTGAATGCCACAGTTTTTGACTCTGAGGAAGTCATCTTTGGCTCTGGTTTAAGCCTTCTTTGAATTTTAAAGGTTTATACGCTACCATGCTTTAACTTATTAAGCAACAGCGCTATCGCTAAGGTTAAACTTTCTAAAATCTTTCTCAAGCTTTTTAACC